AGCAAGTACCTGCCCTGCCCTCCCCTTGTGTAACTCACTCATGCAGTGATACAATGGGGACTTTCTACACTAACAATGAAGAGGGCTGGATCTATGGACTGTCCTTTTACACGGGTCATTCTTCTGAGCTTTGCCTAGAGCTTTGTGATGATGTTGTTTTGAATGTCACAAACAGTGGTACCAAACCTCTCTCATGACATTAAACTGCTTTACTGATATTACTGTTATAATGCAATCTTAAAGGTGCATTATACTATTTTTGAATATTTGATCCTGTAGTGACCCAGCATCGCATCTACACTTTCCATTACAGTGGTATCTAAAATGCTATAGAATCAATTGGTTGGAAGGTTGTAATTGAGTGTGGGACTAATCAAGGCATAATTTATTCATTTGTTTTCTCTGCTGACAGAACCCCTCACCAGAAAATGTATGGCAACGCAAGGCAAGCTTATTTGTTTAGCACAATTCACACACAAGGCAACTCAAAGTGCTGAACAATACAAGAACAGACAAGAAACCTGGATTTGTAAATTGTCGGAATAGAAATGCTGCCTACTCATGTTTAGTCCTTGTGCTCCAATCAAAACAGTCAAAAGTTACTCTTACAGCCACCAGGTCTCTACAAAGTCAAATACGCAAAAAATATCAACTTTTTTCACATAAATAGTTGCATTAAGCTGCCGTGAGTCCCCACCACTTCTTTACACACACATCTGGTCCACACCCATACACCAGGAGAGCTCCTCTGTTGGGATGGTAAGTTGTAGGTCATGGTATGTTCCCAGAGGCGGTGGGATGTTGTCAGCTATTAGTTTCTATAATTAGCATCAAGGCAGATTCTCCCGTGCAGCTTCAATGGCTCTACTCTTCAGGAATGGTTCTGTTAAAACTGACCTGGATTTAGCTTTGTGACGATACTGTATGTCTGTGATGAGTGCTTTTTAAATCTACTCTTTGGTGATCAGTTGGAATTGTGATTTTCAGAGCCTGGTGCAAATACTTACTATAAATCGTTTTCTTTTTGCATTTAGACTATTCTACCATTCTTTGATGAAAAATGTTATTCAAAAACAGTGATAATTTCAATTCTATACAAGAACAATACTAATTTTGATGCCACCCCAAAAAAATTGCTATTTGACTGTATTTTTCAACTCTCAACACACTACTTTAATTGGAGCTTTTTTATTTCTGAATTTTAAAAAAAATTATCAAGAAATGCTTAACAAATATAGACAGATAGGTACTTTAATGACCAAAAATAAAAATAATTAATAAATAAAATGATGAATGAGGAGAACTGTACATTTCTCACTTATAGGGGTCTTTTAGCAGCTCTCCTCAAGTGCAAATATTTTACAGTAGTGCCTTATTATCATCCTCTTAGGTACAAAATCCTGCGTTTGTAATCCTCCTGGTGGTTGGTAGATCAAACCGGAGCTGGCATTGCTGCAGGGTTCGCCCGGTCGACCTGCCCCCCTTTGCCTTCCATCACTGATCCAGACCGGAGTATTTTTGCTGCTGATGTGAAGGCTTAATAACACTCAAGAATAAAACATTGGCTTTTCTATAAATGGCAATGCAGATGTGTGTGTAAACGGGCTAAAATCCTGACTTTTTATGACCACTGCAGCGAATTCAATGGACAGCAGTCTGTGTATTTGTTATACGGTGTAGACAGGACCGACTCAACAATCTATATTATTGGCAGATAGTGATCATGCTTCACTGCAAGAATGTTCCAGTCCTGTGCTGACCAGGCCTTTCCGAGCGGACTCTGCATGTTCCTCCTCGTGCCTGAGTGGGTTTCCTCCAGGCGCTCCAGTTCCCCCAACACCCAAAATGTACACTATATTGTGACCACCATTCAGATTCCACTAGTGGCATTGGAAGGATGGGTCAAAACCAGAGAACAAATTGACTTATGGAGACAATAAAGCATCTCAAAGTAAATAAAACAACATCTATTCTGTATCTGTTCTTGCAGAGCTCATAGCTGGAGTGGGACCTGGCTCTTTTTTAGTTTGGGAAAATCTATCTTATGTAATATGCACTAATAGTAAGTCATTACTTTTGTTGCCAGAATATTCCTGCCTGTGACACAAGTAGCTCCACCTGCTAGCTAGAAACAAACAAGCTCTGTGTATTATGTATGAGCACTTACTTCTGTACCTGCTTTTTGTCAAAAAAAATGTGTAGTGCTATTTTTTTCTTTTGTGAATTTTGTTTTGAAAAAGGCCTCTGCTCTCTGATTGGATAATCTACTTGAAAATCCTAAATAGAAATATTATCATATCATTTTCATCGTGTTTTATAATTCATAATAACTCCAGTAAAAAAATAAATGGTGAAATACGGCTTGTACATGGGACCTGTTATCTGGGGACACATACAAACAAATTATTAACCTTTATTTGACCACGAAATTCACCTTTGAGAACAACCTCTTAAGAAAATCTTTTTTCAAGGGAGTCCTAGACAAGAGGCAACAAATGAAAACATGACATTCAGTCCCTTTAATTCAATTGGCTTGTTTTCTTCAGTGTAGTCTGTTTTATAATTTGAAAACAATATTCCAGCAAAACAACGGCAAAATCAGTGGGTAATGAACTACAGTGGGGAAATGTATGGACGGAGGTGCCCAGAATCCAGAAGTCTTGTCTAATGGAAACACTTATATTTTTTGCTCTGAAATGTTTTTAATTATTGCCGTTGAGTGCGTCTACTCCACATCCCTGAGTAAAAGTTGTAACCAGTAATTGAGCAGATTTATTGCATACGTTGTGTGAGTCTTTGGCCGCAGTTTCCGAAGATTCGCTTCAGCTGATTTCTTCTGGCAGTTCCTGTGGAGAACCCAATGACCTGCGAATTACCACTCCCCGTCCATCTCTCCTCCGCACACAATCAGCGCTATGTTTCTAACCACTGCGGCGTGCGCTGGACCACTTTTATTTAGCTCTGTGTGATTGGAACCCTGTAATCTAGTCAAGTCTGTGTGCCACCGTCGCCATCAGAGCCGCAGCTCAAGGGCTCGTATACCTCCCTCCATACACTTCCCGACTCTAGTTCATTTCTATAACACGTATTTTGTACCATTTTTGCCGTCGTTTGGGCAAATGAAACACGTCTGACTTCGCCTGAGATCTAGTCTTTTACGAGAGCGACTGATTGTGTCCATTTTCTGTATCGTTTTTTTGCGTTCGGAGTAAAGAATCCCTCGTCGAGACTGGGCCAAATGATGTAAGGCAGAAGAATGACATAAAAATAGTATGGAGTGCTTTAAGCTTCCAACAAGGGACCTAACATTCATTAAAATTCAGCTTAACTTAACATAGACTCACTTTTACTGACATAAGAAAAATTATTAAATGCAATCTCTCTTTATTATGCTTAAGTCAGATATTTTATACTTATTTTTTGCTTCTTATGCAGATTATAGACTACTGCCTCATTATGATAAAGCTGGAGATTTTAATTCATGTTATTTGATTTTGTCAAGAGTTTAGTATAGAGCTGTGTTCATATCTTGTGCTGTGTGCTCCTCCTGTTCTGTAACTGGTGATGCAACACTGAAATTTCCCCACTGTGGGACAGATAAAGGAATTCTTAATCTTAATCTTTGGCTTTCAAGAGAGTTTGAGTTGTATGGTTCTCTGTTTTTTCATTCATTTTTCTGTATTAGTGCGATTGTTATTTTATGTTTTTATATGATTCTGCTCTTACTAGATTTTACTTCAAAATTTTTATGAATTGTTTAATATTTTGTTTTTCTATTTTACTCACTATATACCAATACCTGTTCAACACTTTGGAAATGGTCAATCAATTCATTTTTATTTGTACAGCACATTTAAAACAGCCTAGGCTTACAAAAGTGCTGCACAGACAAGTGAAAAACAACAATAAAAACACACAAAAATACCAAAAATATTAATACATAAAAATAAATAGAAAATGTCTCTTGCCTGTTATTAAATGGTCTTGTTTATAAAATGTGTATTTATTTGGATTTAGTGACCGATGCCAAACGAGAGGCAGCAGTTCTGTTTGCTAATCTATCTTTGGGACAATCATCGAGGGACTTCTGGCCTGGCTTATTTTGTAGAACCTGAAAAGTGCTGTTTAACTCCAACTCCTTTTTTTGTGTACAATATTTCAGACGAGAAGTGTGACTTGTAGAAAGGAATATTCAGATTTCATGGTTCTCCAAATTTTGCGCTGCCATGAATCAGAACAGATTTGGAATTTTCCCATATGTGCTAGTTATTACAAGGCTTATAGTCTTAGCATGTGTGCAACATTTCTCATTATTTAGCACGCATTCCTGACCACACATCGCAAACCGCCGCAGAACCTCCACTGGGAAACGTTTCTTTGCATTGATTATGACATTGATCTATATCATGGGTGTCAAAGTCAATGAATAATCTTGGCCCCCGGAATGTTATCAGTATTAGAACCGGCCGCACAGAGCCATAAGAAAATATTGGATTATTCATTTAATGCTCAGGAAGTTTGTTTTGTCTGTGAGCCTGTTGAAAAATGTTTTTAGTGGAAATTACTGACACAGCCATACAAAAATATTGGATTATTAGGTCAATAGGTTTTATGTAATCATTTCAATATGTTTTGATTAGGGCTGCACGATATTTTAAATTAGAGCGATATTCGATATGATTGTTTAGTATTGCGATAACGATATTATTTTGATATTTTTGTCTTTCACCTAAAATTGCAATCTGCTTTGAAACGCAAGAGACAAATAACAAAAAATAAGCACAACATTATTCAAATGCATATAATCATATACTTTTTTGTTTGTTTGTTGTTCTTGGTGAATGCTGATTAAACAATATTTTTCCGATATATCGTGCAGCCCTAGTTTTAATACACATTGAACCAGTCCGGCCCTCGGCTTGTCGCAAATGTGTTTTTTTGGCCTCTGATGTATTTGACTTTGACTCTGTTCACTCACGGTCACTTGTTTTCCCATGCAGGGTTATACTATGGGCTGTGTCAAAAGCAAAGAGGATAAAGGCCCAGACAAGTACCGTCCAGAGATCTCCACTGGGTCCGACCCGACCACAACCACCACACCTCAAACTGGCCACTACGGACCGGACCCCACCCAGCAGCAGAGTCAGCCCCCCACATCCGGCCCTGGGAACTTCAACCACATCACTCCTTTCGGGGGCTCCTCGGCGGCCATCACTCCCTTCGGCGGAGCTTCTTTCTCTGGGCCTGTGTCCAACTCCTTCTCAGGGGCAGTATCCGGTAAGACGACTCCTGTAGCCAACTATTCAACTCATTATTAGCTGAATGTGTGCCTTTTGTGTGATGTTTTTTGTTATGCCAAGTAGTTACACCATAAGTAACAACCTCAGCTACTATTTGGGTGTAAGCCTGGGTTTAAAAAAAAGCTAACAATATTACATTAAAAAAGTAAAAAATGTGCAAGTAAGAAATGAAAAATTCACAGTGTGTATGGAGTTTGCATGTTCTCCCTGTGTCTGTCTATGCTAAGTAAATTTTATACTTGCTAAAGTTAGAGAGTGTATTATTTATCTTGTGTTGTGTGCTCCTTATTATGTATCTCTTAATCTTATGCTAGCCATGAAACAAATACAAAACAGCTCAAATGTGTCATGGTGTGGCTTTTATTTTGGACTTTAACTTTATTTTGATATCTGTTCTCATGTGCTTTGGTTTTAGTTTGACTTTGAGGTCCTGTTTCCCCTGTCTTGATTGTCTGCCCCGCCCTAATGTGTTTCACCTGTGTCTGTGTCTATAATTACCCTGTGCTCCTCTCCTCTTGTTGCTGGTCCATTGTATTGTCAACCTCCGTCCTGTCTTGTCAATGTCTGTTCCTGGTTGGTTGCTGCTTGTGCCTTTTGGATTTTTGAGTTTTAACCTGGACTTTTATTTTGTTATCATTAAATAATTATTTTTTAGGCATTCCTGCATTTGAGTCCTCCATCATCCCACCACGTGACAAAATGTATCTCATTGACGTCATAGATGTTGCTTTTTGTCCATATTTCTGTGTTGTCTGCTGTATATCGATCCACTGAGGGCTTCAGTAAAAGTCTCCCATCCCCGCTGAGTCTTCCAGTCAGCGTTTACAGTAGTTTGTGGCGTCGTGACTCATGAGAACAGGGCATGTCAGGACTCCACATCGATAATGGGTTTTTATGGCCACTGAGCTAAATTCAGCCTAAATCAAGCTTACAATAATGATCCACTCTGTGATGTCTCACCTTGTGTCTCACCTTGTGTCTCTGCTCTAATGTCCCTGCTGCAGTCCATCACCTTAAATACTTTAGTGACCAAGTAATAGGAGTCGAAAATGCTACTTTTTTCTGGAAACTACCTGCTGTCGAACGCACCAGAGGGATAACAAAAAGATTAGAAAAGATCTCTCTACGCGTTTTATTTTTCATTTGTATTAAGTATACACACGTACTTATACCTCTGCAGCTGTATTACTCTGTGTATGCACGGCTTTTGACAGCTGCAGCAGCACAACAACAAACCTACAGCCTTTGATATCTCCGCGATCGCACTTTAGCAGTCGTGAGTTCAGGTGGAAAAGTACGTGTATAAAGTGTGTGGTGAGGGGTTTTACAGCTTTAAAACACACAGCTGCGACTTTGCGGATTTCCCTCATTGCGTAACTTGTGACAAATCTCTGTTGTAAACTCAGAACAACAGAACTATTGTCTGATTAAAAGTTAAACCCACTCTATGTGATATTCTGGAATAATATCAAAGAGTAAATAGACCTATACTCGACATATCCCATGCAGATATTTCAGCCTCCACCGAACCTCGCCGTGTCTGTTAGCGCCAGGTACGATGTGTCCTGATATGTTTGATCAGATTAGAGCCATGATCCCTGCGTTAAGGAGAAGTCTGCTGTTTAGGTGGGATTGAGCTTGTAATCCACGGCCCGGCGGATTAGCTGCCTCTAAAGGGGAGAAGGCATAACTCCATGGCATTTGCTTTATGATGGAGATAATGGGATTAGTGTTGACACAAAGCCTGACAGCAGTGTTATATGAATGTCTTCTGTTTACGAGCGATTCTGTTGACTTTCCCAACTCAGGATCTGACGAATATTTAATTTGTGATGGTGTAATTAAATTGGCCTGATGGGATTTCCATTATGGCTTTTATCAGTCGGATTTATTGACTACTCTTTCAGCTGGTTGTGTCTCCTGTACTGAATAATTACACTCATATTTCCTAAACACACAAGCAAGGCAAATCAATATTGTCTGTGTGTGTGTGTGTGTGTGTGTGTCTCTGTCTGCGTGTGGGTCTATGTCTGTGTCTGTGTGTTCCTGTCTGTCTGTGTGTGTGTCTATGTGTCAGTGTGTCTGTGTGTGTGTCTGTGTCTGTGTGTTCCCGTCTCTCTGTATGTGTGTGTCTGTGTTTGTGTGTGTGTGTGTGTGTGTGTGCGCGTCTATGTGTGTGTGTCTGTGTGTCTGTGTCTGTGTGTTCCCGTCTCTCTGTGTGTGTGTCTGTGTGTGTGTGCGTCTGTGTCTGCCAGTGTGTGCGAGTGTGTGTGTGTGTGTGTCTGTCAGTGTGTCAGTGTGTGTGTGTGTGTGTCTGTCTGTGAGTGTTTGCGTCATGTGCGTGAGCGTGTGTGTGTGTGTGTGTGTGTGTGTCTGTGTCTGCTAGTGTGTCAGTGTGTGTGTGTGTGTGTGTGTGTGTGTCTGTGTGTGTGTCTGTGTGTTTGTGTGTGCAGACCTCCAGCTAATAAATTAACACTGTGCCTGATATTGTCTCCGGCTCATTTCTGTTGCCACGGCGGCATCGTTGCGCATAGTAAATAAATCTGAATGTGTTTTGAAGGCGGCGTTACGTTCTTCGTGGCCTTGTACGACTACGAAGCCCGGACATCAGATGATCTATCGTTCAAGAAAGGAGACCGGTTTCAGATAATCAACAACACGTGAGTATTTTTACGACTTCAATATATTATGGAATTGTGTCTTGTTCCACCTACAGTACTTCATATTCCCTTATTGTATCATTTAGGGAACGCCCGATTTGATCCAAAATAGATATTGTAAGAATTTGGCACTGATGCTTAAGTTACTAATTTATTTGTAGATCCTTTTCCTCACATAAATAATAATGTATGTCATATATTGATATATTGATGTTAGCTCAAATGTCATTAGCCAAAGATGCTACACTAGATTCAAAAACCTCCAATGAAAGTAGGTAAACTATTCCACAGTTTGGGAATACTTTACCCGACTTAAAATAATGTAATTCAACATATAGACAAACAGGACAAAATTCAAATTAAAAAATACATTTAAAATCTTGATCGATTACCAATGTCTCGCAAGACTTCCAAACGTACCACCGCCCCTGACAGAAGCTCCTAAATGTGCCTGTTTAATGGCTCTGTCTCCTCCTGTATCAGTCATCCCAAGGTGACTGTTAAATGCTCAAGTCTTCTGTCCTGTCTGTGTCCCCCGCAGAGAAGGAGACTGGTGGGAGGCGCGCTCCATCAACTCCGGGAAGAAAGGCTACATCCCCAGCAATTATGTGGCTCCCGCTGACTCCATCCAGGCTGAAGAGTAAGCCTTTGTCACCCGCACTGCCTTTCATAACACCATTATTCCATCGGCTGCCCTCTCACAAGGAGAATAATGACACCAGTATGAGCTCACCTCCAGAGTTTCATAAGGACAGAGAGCTTTCGTTTTGCCGCACAGTGATAAATGGCGTCATCGCATGTTGCTGTGTTTGGATTTGAAATGGACTTTTGACATGTGCTCAAAGGTGGTCTGGTCTCTGCGCAGGTGGTATTTTGGCAAAATGGGGCGGAAGGATGCAGAGAGGTTGCTGCTGGTCTCCGGAAATCACAGAGGAACCTTTTTGGTACGAGAAAGCGAAACGACAAAAGGTGAATACGTTTATGATACAAGTCTTCAGGGGGCTTAGAACTTACAAACCACACAACATTGGAACTATGCAATGCAATCCATCTAACTCAAAGTAGTTCTATAAGTAGTTTGCAAGTATTTCTAGCCTCTGTCACATCTTTAGATCAGGCTTTTTAACCAGAAACGTGAAGAAGAGAGGACCAGTCTCTCTCAGCCAATCAGTTCTCACGACTACATTAAAATTACCCACTGTGTATGGGTCCTTGTAATGTTCTGTAAGTCATTTAGACAACCTAGTTTGAGTATTTGTCTTATAATAATGTTTTTTCTTTACTTTCCAGGCGCGTTCTCTCTCTCCATTCGAGACTGGGATGACGCCAAAGGAGATAACGTGAAGCACTACAAGATCCGTAAGCTGGACAGTGGGGGGTACTACATCACAACCAGGGCGCAGTTTGACACGCTACAGAAGCTTGTCAAGCACTACACAGGTTTGTCTCTACGTGCGCTGACATCATCTTCCTTCCTTAGAGCCAGTTATCAAAATCTATACTGAATATTACCCTTTTTCAATTCATATCAATAAAAAAAGGTTATTAATCCCCAAGGAGTAATAAAGATAGCGGTCAAATTGGCTTCTTCCGTATTCAATCTATGTACATAAGACATATGACATGACACAAAAGACAATAGACACAGACTTTACTATCGACTGTAAACAACAGCTTCACGACTAAATAAAAGACTTATCTCCGTCAATAATTATGAATGAGTGATGTATTCAATCTCGTGACTTCTTTCTGTACCTTTAGCATAAACTCTTACTCTCATTAACTCATGTGTCTAGTGGACAAAAACGAATGTTAAATGTCACTCAGTTTAACCTCGTAATCTTATGTTTATTCATTCTTTTGCATTATGCGTGTATCATTTAGCTATTTCTAACATTATCAGGGCTACTTGTAAAGATAGTGAAGCAATTACATGTTGTACAGTGTCAAATAATTGTTGATTTGCTAATAGCAGAATGGTCAAAAAGAGAAATAAACCGCAGTTCTCTAGGATGTTGTCGATCCAAGGCTTCCTCTCTTGTTTGTATGAATTGTGCAATACAAATAAACTCCCCTTGCCTATTACTGCCGTTGCCTCCATCTTTAGCCCCCCACATGGTTTTGACCCAGAGGAGGTTGTATCTCTGTGATCCCTACACTCCGACTCTGTAGAGGACTCTTTGATACCTCTTCCATCTCATATATTTTTGATCACAATGAGTAAAACAGCTTCTAAATCCAGCAGAATCAAACGGGATGAATCGAGGCATGAAACAGGGCTTTAAAGAACATCTGCTTTAGAGGCCGTGTGTTTCCTGCCGTAACCGTCTGATGTGGCTGTTTTCCAGACCACGCAGACGGCCTGTGCCACAAGCTGACCACGGTTTGCCCCACGGTTAAACCCCAAACGCAGGGACTGGCCAAGGACGCCTGGGAGATTCCCCGGGAGTCCTTACGCCTGGAGCTCAAACTGGGACAGGGCTGCTTCGGAGAGGTCTGGATGGGTAAGGAGGAGCGACTTTGTGTTCCGTTTCGAAATGCAATTACGCAATGGTGGAAAGTTGAGCTAATAGGAGACGACACGCACAGGACTTGATGTGAATGGACGCTTCTATTTTGGGACGGTTTGGGAATTATCCGCTTCCTGTTCCTCTGCTTGTTGTGTCCTGTTTGTGAGCAAAGATCATTATCACTCAGTATTCTCCCTTGCCAAACATATTTCCCAAAATAATATAAGATTCTTTTCCCCTTCTCATCACGCTAGCTTCATTCTTAAAGCTACGGTACCTTAATTTATTCATGTTATCGTTTACATGTTTGCCCAGTGAGTCACTATTTAACACTTATTGCCTTTTCTGTATGATCTAGATTTGGCCAAAAATGCATTCATGTGAAAAATATATAGGACCAAACTGTTTTGAAAGAAGATTACTGTACATAGTTGAATTGTTTGCGGTTGGAAAATTAGGTACCTGAGCTTTAATAAAAGATAATTTGTGACATGTATGACAGCACTAATCATGTATAAGGTTCAAATACAGAGAATGCAAAGAAGCTAGTACTGCTTAATTAACAATTCACCTTTTTTTTCCATTCACTTTGATGTAAAATGTGAAACTTTCCTTTTTAATCAGGCCTATTAGGAATTGTATGAGCTTTTAACCCCTTCATATTTCTTTTAGATATTTTGTTCTTCTGATCTTTTTGTTTGTTTGTTGCGCTGTATTTTAATCTGTAGCACTTTGAGGTTTCCTGGAAATGTAAGGTGCAGTATAAATAAAAATTTATTATTAGTATTTAACTATGGCATTGAAATTTCCCCGCTGAGGGACGAATGAAGGTTTAATCACATCTTATCTATATTGCAAAATCTACGCTATCTCTGTTATGGGGCTTTTCCATAGCTCTATAAATATAACTATTGATGATAACTATTCACTCTCCGTCTTGTCTTTTTAACAGGAACGTGGAACGGTACCACAAAGGTCGCCATAAAAACACTCAAAACGGGAACTATGTCGCCCGAAGCCTTTCTCCAAGAAGCTCAGATCATGAAGAAACTCCGGCACGACAAACTGGTGCCTCTTTACGCGGTGGTGTCTGAGGAACCCATCTACATCGTCACAGAATACATGGCTAAAGGTACGAAGAAGCACCACGTCGGTTTGGATTCGGATTTAAAACTGAGAAGAAAAGTAGACATTAGCATTAGACAGTGCAGAAATAGCCTCGGCAGTGGATAGTGGACTGCTTAAAGTCTGTAGTGGCTCCCCCAGGCTTCAACACACACATAGTTAATTAGAAACAGAAGTGGTTTGTGGGAAAAACATTGATTTGATTTGAATACTTTATTATTATTATTAACATTCTGCGCCATACAGGAAGCACTTTACCCACACACACGGGCAACGAAAGAATGAAACAACAGAAAAAGATACAGGGAGAATCTGTACAACATTATTATATTTTAAAATAAGGGTTTGGCTCGAAAAGGAGTGGGAAGAAGAAGAGATTGACGACTTGAACGTGCACCCGGAGAGCACATACCCCGTCATCGCCATCGAAATAAAATGATGTCTTACAATCACATCCCATCCACACACCAAATAGTTGCTCAATCCGTCTTGTAGTTGTTGAGTAATCCTAGACACACACACACGCACCCTTGGAGACCATTACAATACCCCCTCTGTAGTAAAACCTCATCCAAAAGGTGAAGGAACCCAAAAACAAATTGGATAAAAATGACCAAACTGGTATTTATAATTTATATTGAGTTTCTATTTTGTTTGGTATTTATTGGTATTAAAAGAAACAGTAAATCCTTCCAATCTATTCTTTCATCCATTCATTTTTCTTCTGCTGTGTGCTGTATATATATATATATATATATTTCTGAGAGAATTGTTCATTGGTGCAGCGGTTAGAGCTTGTGTTTCACAGCAAGAAGGTCCTGAGTTCGATTCCACCTCCAGGCCTGTCTGTGTGGAGTTTGCATATTCTCCCTGTGTCTGTCTAGAAACATGTGCAATTGGTCTGAATGTGATGAGCGAGTGAATGGATGGTGTTGGTTGGAGCTTTGATGCACCAGTGTGTTCGGCGTCTCGCTTTGGTTCACCTTTTCACCGATTCTGATTCTTTGTCTGTAAAAAAGCGCTTTAAACATAAATATCACTTACTTACAGTGCAGCTTGCATTGATATGAATGGTAAACCTCTGAACACTGTGAAAGCTCAGTTCCGTTTTCCCTCCTGTCATTGGTATGCAGGCTGCTGATACAGATAGTTTGACCTTCCATATATCATACGTGGCATTTACAGTCTCATTACTTTTATAGGAAGTTTGCTGGACTTCGTGAAAGAGGGTGACGGAAAATTCCTCAAGCTCCCACTGCTGGTGGACATGGCTGCACAGGTCACTATCGCAAACTTCAGTATTTCTCGTTTCATAGATTTGATTCTAAACCGTGCTGTCGTTTGTGCTCAGATTGCAGATGGCATGGCTTTTATAGAGAGGATGAACTACATTCACAGGGACCTCCGAGCTGCCAACATTCTTGTGGGTGAAAATCTGGTGTGCAAGATCGCCGACTTCGGCCTGGCCAGGTTGATAGAGGACAATGAGTACACGGCCCGACAGGGTGAGTAGACTGCTACACACACACACACACACACATCCTCTGCTTCAGGGGTACATGAGGCGAGGGAGCAGAGGGGCAGAGATACGATAACAAGGCCGCCTCCCTGTAGCCTCTTCTTACTGAGAGTTAGGATTCAGTGTCGTTTATATTCCAGATTTCCAACAGTTGATTACAACAGAAACACCACACGTTATCACTGCCTCCCTGCTTTAGTTCAGGGAAGTATTCGGCTCATCCTACTTTATGGCAGAGGAGGGCAATCAGTCAGTAGTGATCTACGAGTTGATCTCCAGTCGATAGTGTGTCTTTTTGAATAGACAGTTCACATTTCAAACTGCTCCTTGCGAGATTCTTTCTTTTGTCAGCCGTCGACAATCAAGTCCTAATGGCTGATTTAGTTCAATGCATCATGTCACCCTTCTCCTCTTTGCTGCTCGATGGTGCTCTGGCAGTGCTATCCTCATACACGTGCACACACACACACACACACATACACGCACACGCACGTACAATGCAGACTGTAGTAAACACTATACAAGTATATGACACACACAGAAATACTGATTTAACAGACTGATTTGTTGACTGTTAGTTTTAGTTTATTCTTCAGTCGTCAGTAACTATGAGACATGCGCCCTCTGGTGGAGACTTTTGTATGATCTTTTCTTTCCGCATTCAGGGGCAAAGTTTCCTATTAAATGGACCGCTCCAGAGGCTGCTCTGTATGGACGCTTCACTATTAAGTCTGACGTCTGGTCCTTCGGCATCTTACTCACCGAGCTTGTGACCAAAGGCAGAGTGCCCTACCCAGGTAAGAGTCAAACATGGGGGTGAATAAAACATAGCATGAGGGAGATTTATGTCCCGTCTTATCAGCTCTTTGCGGAACATTAGACTTCTTGCTGCTTGTGTGTGGATGTCGGAGGATGAAGTGGAGCTGTCCCACATCGCTGCACTGGTTGTTGTTGCCTCTGCAGGGGGGGCGACCCTCCCTCCCTCACACGCAGACCAGAGATTAGATTGGACCATCTGTTGGGGGACGAGCAGAAGATTGAACACCACTGTTGTTTATTGCCATCTGCCAGACTGATACCGTCTTGGGATGAATGCCTCCAGCTTGGATGCACCCACAAATATTTTGACTTGTAATAAATCTGCTCCGCACTCATTAGAAATGTAATTAAAAAGTAGTTCTTCTTATCCTCTCTTATCCCAACCTAAATTGTCTTAAAATGATTTTAAGAGTTGTTCATATCTGACATCGACCTGTTTTCTGGTAGAACCGCATCACTTTCTGTGATAAGTTGCATGTTTCTCCCTGTGCCTTGGAGTTCTCTCTCTGGGCTCGGTTTACTCCATTCACCAAAGAAGTTGAATTGGCTTCACATAGATCCTGATACATCCACTAATAACAAATGGGCTCTTGTGAGATGCCACTGTTACTGTTTCTCTAGTGACATTACACGTGGGCAGCATGCTGAATCTTTCTGATTGGCTAAAACTCCTGTCCAATGTCAGAGGGGTGTTATGGGTCGGGTCAGAGGGGGTAGAAAAAGAGATACAAAATTAAGAAAGAGAGTACTGTTGTAACATGAAAGTCAATGCTCTCAGGGAAAAATCCTTTTTCAAGAAACATCTTTTTGTTTACATCCTGTGTGAACCTCAGACAAATGTGAATCCTTGCTGTTACATATGTCTTCCTAACACTTGTACACGTGTGCAGGGATGGTGAACCGGGAGGTGCTGGAGCAGGTGGAGAGGGGGTACCGCATGCCGTGTCCCCAGGGCTGCCCCGAGTCTCTGCATGAGATGATGAAGGTCTGCTGGAAGAAAGAGCCCGACGAGAGGCCCACCTTCGAGTACATTCAGTCCTTTTTGGAGGATTACTTCACAGCCACAGAGCCACAGTACCAGCCAGGGGAAAACCTATAACCTCCCTACTCTGTCCCTGAGGAAGACAATCCACTACACGCCCGAGAATAGCATAGTCAACAACCACTACCTGATGTCTCATGTGTCCATTTATCTGCATTTGTTCTCATTATTTATGGTACGTCACAAATCATATCCATGTGTTTGAATGTTGCTGGCGTTTAATGAGGAGGATGTGAAATAAGCTGTGATCATGTCTCGCTTACACTAAGAATGAGTAACTTATATAGTAGATCAAAAAATATACTTCATTCAAATGTCAATTATTGGCAAAATATATATATCCAAAGTTGACTTTAAAGTTAATTATTTTATTTATTGGCAAATCTTAACCATTTCTACAAAGGCTTAGTGCAATGTGTCTGTAAGAATCCACCTTTTTTTACTGCATTTTATTTTCATGTCACTTGTTTTTGCTGGACTTTGGCCATAATCATGTCGCGCTCATAATGTTTCCGGACTGTTACAAGTCACTGCCCCTGAGGAATCATGACAAACATGTGTTTTACTGTGTTTTTACTGTGGAACCCTGTGTGTCACATCGGGACCTATATGTTAAACATGCCATGTTAGATATTTCTCAGAACTGCAGTTTTATGGCCATTTTCATGACTGAACTGATCTTGTGGCTTTGTATATTACAAAGTAGGCGACCCTTTTTTATAACTGCATTAAGTATTATACTCGAATCCAACGGAAACTTGGTTTTTAGAATAAAATGTCATTTTACACTACTTCTGTGTCTCTTTAAATGTTTTGTCTTGACCAATCCCAGCGGCGGTGGGCGGGGTGTTAGTGTGTTTGGGAGAGGGTCGACGAGGTCTCCAGACTAAAGTATTTTAACAACAAAATGCTGCACAGAATAGTGGACTTTAGCGTCAGAGACGTGCGGTTCCCGACGTCTGCGGAGCAGCATGGATCAGACGCGATGGTGAGAACCTTTGTGTGCGCATGTCATGTGACAGGACATGTCCTATACCTCCACTGTCTCATGCATGTCTAATGTCTAACTCATGTCTAACTTATGTCTAACTTTGTAATAAGCACATTGTCTTGTGTTGCAGCACACTGACCCGGATTACTCTGCTGCATATGTCGTTATAACCACAGACAGTAAAGTGCAGGGCTTTGGCCTCACTTTCACTTTGGGGAAAGGCACTGACATCGGTAGGACTTTGGATCACTATTTATGAATCCAGACCACAGACCTAGAATTTTTTTTAAAATCATAATCCTAATTAGCCATCAAAGGAAGGATCAGGAAAAATGTAGACGTGAACCGTAGAATACTGGAGTTTTACTGCCACCTGCTGGTGAAACTGTACAATAGCTTCCAATCGGATTGGTGCTTAGCATCTTTATTATTAGGGCACTATTTAGGCTCTCATTAAATAACAAACTGTACATTTTGTCTGCAGTGGTTTGTGCTGTGAAAGCTCTGTCCGGCCTGGTCATTGGAAAGTTCTTACAAGATATCGTAGGAGACTTTCGAGGATTTTACCGCCTCCTGAGCAGTGACAGTCAAATGAGATGGGTAACTCATATTTGGCTGTATATTATTTGATGTCTATAACGTCTTTGTCTTATCTGCAATTTTGGACACTTTATGTTTAAAAGTTGGGCCCAGAGAAGGGGGTCATTCATCTGGCCACAGCCGCGGTCCTGAATGCAGTGTGGGATCTGTGGGCCCGAACTGAAGGCAAGGTTCGGCAAGTGGACAAATGTAAACAATATGTTATACTATAGAGGTACATGACAGGACTACACTAACTCTCTTTACAGCCTCTTTGGAAGCTACTTGTTGACATGGTTAGTCAATAATAAAGTATGAGAGCTGATGAATGCCAAACCCATCCATATAAGTTGTTGTTCATTCAGGATCCAAAGCAGATCGTCTCATGCATCGACTTCAGATACATCACTGACGCGCTGACGGAGGAGGAGGCTTTGGGTGAGGCTGATTTGTAACTCTCTTCAACACAACTGCTTCCTCTTTATCTTCCTTACCTCATTCAGACATCTTGATGAAAGCACAAGAGGACAAACAGCATAGAGGTGAGTAGTGTAGTTAAAGAGCCCGTTTGAGTTTAACAGCCTCGTAAATCTCCATAAGAATCTCTCTACATAACAATTCATACTCATTGCATTTCAGAGGAGCAGATGCTGAAAAAGGGCTACCCCGCTTACACCACGTCCTGTGCCTGGCTTGGCTACACAGACGAACAACTTAAACAGGTAGATAGCTCATACATTCAGTTCAGTTCAATGTATTTTTAAAGCCCTACTTCACAGCAGTAGTAATCTCTGAGGACTCAACATAGTATAATATTGCAGGTCGAACACTGACCTCGAGGCTGTATCTGGTCTATATGAACTATTTCCAGGACCAATTGTTTATTGGTCCTTTGATCCTTCCTCCTCCGTCGAGCAAAGACGTGTCTTAGTCCGCTCCTGCTTCTGAACGGCTTGCTATCTCCTGTTTTTGTCTTTTTTCCTGGAGCTTTGCCACAGACAACTTTCGACATTGCAGGCGATGTGTTTTTCTCCTCCTGTGGCTTCTCTCCACTCTTATCTCACATTCCTCAGCCAAGGCCATAAACAAGGTCCCACAATCTACAACAACTCACACTATTTCAGTCTTCAGCAAGGATCCCCCACCCCCGCCTCCCTCTACCTATCCATCTTGCTCCCTCCCTCCCCTCCATTCCTTATTGTTTTCCTACTCACCCCCTCCCTGATCCCGCCCCCCTCTGACAGCTACATTGGGCCGGCCGAAGAGGTGCTCTTCCCGAGAAAAAAATCCGTGGTTTATAAAAAGCACAATGTGTCTATCCAATTGTCTGTGAACTGTATGTTATTGCTCTCTGCTGTTTCTTGCTGCACACAGCGCCGCAAATGGCGAAGTGGCACGCTCTCTGCCAAAACAATTTCCAAGTGATAACTTTGTTACTCACGTGGCAATAAAAATGATTCTGATTCTGATTCTGATTCTGATTATTTAATTTTATATGCAGAATAGGACCAAACAGAGAATTCAAAGCACAACTGTACTTCTGTCTATATTTATTCCTTTTCTATTCATCCAATTCTGTGAAGCACTGAAGTTTATCTTATCTTTGCTCTTGATTTGGCAGCACAGATCAGAGAATCAAACCATTCAAACACAATAAATGCAGTCAAAAATACACTTTTTTTATACACTTTACATTTTGACTGAATCCAATGCATTTCTTTAAGCTGTGCACAGATGCTTTCAAAAGTGGCTGGACCAAGTTTAAGGTCAAGGTCGGGGCAGATATAGAAGATGATAAACGCCGCTGTGGTCTCATCAGACACATGATCGGACCACAAAACACACTGGTCCAATTTAAAAGCTAGTTTTTAAAAGCAGATTTCAGTCTGTGAATAACACTGATTGTGCTTATTGATGTTTGGGTGAAGATGATAGATGCCAACCAGAGATGGGACGTGTCGGAGGCGATCAGCTGGGTCTCAGAACTGTCAGAGTTCAGACCCTTGTGGATCGAGGAGCCCACTTCTCCAGACGACATTTTGGGACACGCTGCCATCTCCAAAGTGAGACTGGATTTTACTCGTGTTTATAACGCTTCAGTGCTTTCGCTCAAACCACTTTTGCTTTGACAGGCTTTGGGGACGCTGGGAATTGGAGTAGCTTCAGGAGAGCAGGTCTGATAATAGGTTATACAGAACATATAAAGCCAATAGTTCAAATATATACACATGTCTCAATGTCTCAGGGCCGGTTCTCCCCAATAAGTGGACTAAACGGTCACTTAGGTGCCCTTTGGGGACTTTTGGGCCCTAAGAATAGCGTAACTTGAATTGGAAAAGATAGAAAATGAATCAAAAATACCCATTAGCTTCAAATTGATTTTTTTCCATCCTAGAATTTGATGTTGGATGAGGTTACAGCGTCTATTCATATTCTATATTGTACAATGTAAACCATTGATATATACACAACCGAATGGCAGGGTTGAGGCAGGGGGCCTGAGGTTTTTTGATTAAAGCCCCCTAAAAGCTTGGACCGGCCCAGATACGTTTAAAGTACAATATACTTCAGTGACGCATAGTTTTCTTTCTAGTGTCAAAACAGAGTCATGTTTAAGCAGTTCCTTCAGGCTGCGGCTCTACAGTTTGTTCAGATCGACAGCTGCCGACTGGGAAGTGTGAATGAAAACCTTGCTGTGATACTGATGGCACACAAGTTTAGAGGTAGAACTTGTCAATTTCAGCAAAAAAAATTTCAATCTCTCACTGAACCAATCAATGGAACTCACCAGTGCCAGTTTGTCCACACGCTGGAGGAGTGGGCCTGTGTGAACTTGTGCAACACTTAATCTTATTCGACTACATAAGTGTGTCAGCCGACCTCCATAACAGGTATATTCAGGAGTTTGTACTTATAAATGCATGTTGATTATTAGCTTATAATATATTTTAAAATTTCTGTAGGATGTGTGAATACGTGGATCATCTACATGAGCATTTCACATGCCCAGCTATAATTGAGAAAGCTCATTACATGCCCCCAAAGGTAATAGTATTAAATATATATACACACACACACACACACACACATTTACTTCCTTCTTTGTACAAACGCAATGTCTGCATTTTGATTTCCAGAATCCTGGTTATTCTTGCGAGATGCTGGAGTCCTCAGTCGTGAAACACCAATACCCAGATGGAGAAGTTTGGAGAAAGAAAATAGCATAAAATATTTTATTTACAGACAAACACAAGATAAAAAGAATAAAAACCCAGACCTAAGATTTACAATGAAAACAAATGTGGTTTTAGTCAATAATAATCCACTTCCAATAAAATATACCGTAGTTTCCCACTTAAACAGCCATCTGCATTTTAATGATGGGATGAGGGTTGTAGTCATGGATCTCAAAGTCTTCAGCGCGAAAGTCATCTATACTCTCTACTTTTCGAAGGATCTTGAGTTTAGGGAAGGGCCGGATTTCCCTCTCAAGCTGCAATGGGAATAAGTAATATAAACAATCACGCAATAATTTCTCATAATCTTCCAAAAGCCCACCTGTATTTTAAGAGGCTCTATGTGATTGATGTAGACGTGAGCATCTCCCAAAGTGTGAACAAAGTCTCCAGGCTGTAAAGGAGTGAATGTTAAAAGAAAACGTGGTAGCTGCGTATATTTAAGTGTTTTGAGATAAAAGCCGTTGGGTCTTACTTTGAGTCCTGTGATGTGGGCGATCATGTAAGTCAGAAGAGCGTAGCTGGCTATGTTGAAAGGTACTCCCAGGCCCATGTCACCAGAGCGCTGGTAGAGCTGACAGGAGAGCTCCCCATCGCACACATAGAACTGACAAAGAGCGTGGCATGGAGGGAGAGCCATGTGCGGCAAATCTGAAAACAATCGGAAAAATAACCAGTAAGACGTTGTTAATCTGTTAATGTAATAAACTTATTGGGTTTTCTTGGGGTTACCTTTAGGGTTCCAGGCGCACATAATTATCCGTCTGTCTTCTGGATTTGTTTTAATGGTGTCAATTACCTTCTGTAGTTGATCCACGCCTTGTCCTGTGTAATCTGCCAAAACCAAAGCCAATTTAAATGCATTGAAATTGGATGCAAACGGCAAAGGCCTACAGATGAAACTTGGGGCATTGTGTAGTAGTGTACCTGCATGCATGTTTGTGTACTCGGCCCCAAAGTGTCTCCACTGAAAGCCATAAACAGGCCCAAGATCTCCCTCTTCTCGGTCCGTGAACCCACTCTTGTCAAGGAAACCGCGAGAGCCGTTGGCGTCCCAAATCTTCACTCCTTTTGCCGAGAGCTCTTTGGCGTTGGTTGATCCCTGCAAAAGTTAGCAATGAGCAATACAGAAAAAACAAAAAAAGAAGTATGAAAGTCATTTACCTTAATAAACCAAAGCAGCTCCTCAAGTATGCCTTTCCAAAACACTTTCTTTGTAGTTAAAAGTGGAAATTGATCTGTGATGAGATACAAAACTTTATAATTATTCTTCAGTGATAAACAGACATAATTACATCCTGAGTCGGAGGCGATCAGCTTTGTGTCTACAGACCGTTGTATATCGAGGAGCCCACTTCTCCAGACAACATTTTGGAACACGCTGCAGTCTCCAAAGTGAGACTGGATTTTACTTGTGTTTATAACGCTTCAGTGCTTTCGCTCAAACCACTTTTGCTTTGACAGGCTTTGGGGACACTGGGAATTGGAGTAGCTATAGGAGAGCTATAGGAGAGTCTGATAATAGGTTATACAGAACATATAAAGTCAATATGAACACATTTCTCAGGGCCGGTACTACCCAATATGTGGACTAAGCAGTCATCAGAGGGCCCCCAAGGATGGCTTGACTTGAATTGTAAATAATGAAAAGTGTTGCATCCCACTTCGCACAACTGTCAAAAGTTAAAATTATGGGTTTTCTTTCTTTTTTTTGAATAGCCTTTTTCTCTAACATTGGCAACTATTGTTTTGTTTTTTTTAATCCTAGTATTGGATGTTACAGTTGTCCAAGATCAACCTCCCCCCGGTCAGTGAACCAGAGGCCAGTGTAACCTTCATACTATCCTATCTCTTGTATTGTCAACTAATAACACCACCACAGAACACTATTGCAGGTAGACACTGACCTCGGAGGCTGTATCTGGCCTGTGCCCCGAACATGGAGATGACCCCGGTGCCGGTCCTGTCGCCCTTTGTGCGGCCGTTCTGCAGAATGTACCGGATGAGGTCCAGGTAGCCTCTTTCATCACTGAACACTCCAAAACTGCCCGGTGTCTCTGAGCTCTTCTTCTCTTTACGGTCCTCCTGCGGGTGCTCCAAGTGGATTTCTGAGGTGGCGGGCATTTTGCACCAGAAAAAAATCAGTATTTTACTATATGTGTGGATCCAGTCCTGGTCCCACTCGCTCCTGTTCACGGTCTTCTGCTGCACAGCTTTCCCGCGAAATTTTAAAAAACAAACTTCCTTCCGAATGAGCGACAGCCAATAGGAGGACAGGAGGCACTTCCGCGTTGAGTCTCCTCACGCGGGAACTTATTTTTCCTAGGTGAGTATGAATTTCTGATGGTCACTGTGGCTAAACTCACCTACGTAAAAGAATTCGCGCGCTTGAAGGCAAAGACAAAGCGCGCTTCGTTTTTCGTTATTTACTACAGCTTGAAACTACTCTCAATGCAGACATAGTTCACTATTCTGCTTTATAGTTGGTTGTAAACTTGTAAAGATTATGGGCGTTCTCCCGAAACAATCTAAACTATTCAGTCCTTCAGACTCGCTGTAATTATTAATATTTATATATTTACCAGCTATAGCCACTGGGGGGAGCCAAAGCTTTTACGGTTTGAGATAGCGCTACCTGTAAAGCATGTAAATGTGTGCTGCTAACATGTACAGATGTATATACAACTATATATTTCTTTATTATGCTAAATCTAGAGATTTTCTTTCATTTTATCATAGAGTTATTGTTCACTAATATTGTGGTGTGTACTCCTCATTCTTCCTGTAACTAGTGATGCGACACTGAAATTTATCCACTGGACGAATAAAGAATCAATAAATTTTCTGTGCAATACCCCTGTCAAATAAATAAATACAATCATTAAAACTTCTTTGCAGCCTGTATCTGCTACTGCATATTCCTTCCCTGCAGACATGTGTTTTTATACTTAACCCCAGCCCACGGTATAACCCTGGCATTTATGAAGAGAGTAAAAATACTTTGTACCAACTTCACACAGAGGTGTCAGCACAGATAATATCATACGATACAATAGAAGACCATAGACTGTTACAAAACGTCCAATGGCCAGACCGTTATTATAACAGATCCATGGGGCAGACTGATATATGTCAAGTTGCTGTATATCCACCAGAGCAGAAACAGTGCTCACACACACAAACACAAACGAGATCAAAATGTTTATTCTTCCTGGTACTTTGGATGCCGTATCATCTGAAATTGTTCAATAGCCAATAGTTTGGGACTTTTCTCTCACTGTAACCAAAAAGTTGCAGTGAAGCCTTCAAGCAGGGTTATAGTATTAGGGGCCGCGTCTCTGCAGCAGCAGCAGCGGAAGTGCCTGGTTCGAGACGTGAGCTTGACAGACCACAGCTGTGTGATGCAAAACCCTCTGGTCACCTCTGGACAGTCCGCTCCCATCCCTCCAGCACAGCACCACGACCACCGAGAGACCCCCGGGATAAGACCACCGAGAGACCCCCGGGACACGCACCATGGGATTTTAGCAGGAAAGAAGAAAGAGCGTGGCACATCTTTAGTGTTGGAATAACTTCATAACTTTCTCTCAATGCTGCGATGTACAAAAAGTGACATTGGACATCTTCGCTCAAACTGCCCTCAAGTGAAAACGCCATGAAAGGTACGTGCATGGATACATTTGGGTTTATTGTGTTATAAACTAATAATGATGGAAGTTCAGTCCGGTGAAAAGTCTCCAAACTGTCCCCGTCGGAGCTTTCTCTATGAAGTTTGCATGTTCTCCCTGTGTCTGCGTGCTTCCTCCCACCACAAACATGTAGACTCTCTGCCACTGGAGCCAAGAGACAAGGGGACGAATTTACTTTGATGTTGATGTTTTGTGTTTTTACGTAATTAAAACGGGCAAAAACACGCATATCTGTGATTGGGCTTGCATCTCCACAAAAGATGCCTGTCCTGTCCTTGTTTCTATTAAGTGTTCCTTTGGCTAAATGGAAAAAACATGGCTTTAACTTTCTCTTTCCATGGATTCGTGCAAGAACCACCTGTAGAAAGTCACTGTGGTGGTTTGAGCCTTTTATACTTTACTCAAGCCCAATCCAACGTTTTCAATATTCCTACCTTCATTGACTTTATTGTATATTGTTTGACATTTTTAACTCAGACTAGTCTTGTCCTTATTAGACACGTATTAGTCCTGGTCTGTTTTACTTACTGACCCCTTACTAAGCACATCTGTTCACTATTACAGTAGTGTCCCTTGCTCTGCTCTAGGTCCAGTGTCACACAGTGTAATTAGGGTTTACTGTCAACACCCAGAGACTTCACAGAACAGTCTTTAACCTGGATTTGAACATTGACAGAGTAGACGCCTCCCTCACATTTTCAGGGAGATTGTTCCAGATCTTAGCTGCATGGATCTGAAACGCAGCCTCCCCATGTTTGGTTCTCACTCTGGGCACCAGCAGGAGGCCAGTCCCTGTGCTCCTCAGAGTCCGGGCCGGTTCATATGACACCAACATGTCACTAATGTATTCTGGTGCAAGGCCATGGAGAGACTTGTACACAAGCAGAGCCGTTTTAAAATCTATTCTTTGAGCCACAGGAAGCCAGTGCAGAGACCTGAGGACCGGACTAATATGGTCATACTTCCTGGTTCCTGTCAGGACTCTAGCTGCTGCATTTTGGATGTACTGCAGCTGCTTACAGGTCTGTTTGGACAGACCTGTAAGCAGGCCATTGCAGTAGTCTAGCCTGCTGGAGACAAATGCATGGACAAGAATCTCCAAGTCTGCCCTGGACACTATATTTCTAACTTTGGCAATGTTCTTCAGATGGTAAAAAGCTGTTGATGTTATTGATTTTATGTGGCTATTGAAATTTAGGTCTGAGTCCAGTATTACCCCCAAATTTCTGACCTTGTCTGAAGGAAGTAGGGAGAGAGACTGAAGTTGACAAATGACGCCCTCTCTTTGTTTCTGGGGACCAAAGACAATGATTTCGGTTTTGTCTGCATTTAGCTGGAGGAAATTATTTTGCATCCAGTCACTGATCTGTTGGATACAGTGAAGGAGCAAATCCAGTGGTCCATGTTCTCCTGCAGTCAGTGAGACATAGATCTGAGTGTCGTCAGCGTAATTGTGGTAGGACACTTTGTTTCTTTGTATTAACTGACCTAACGGCAGCATGTAGAGATTAAATAGGAGAGGTCCCAGGATCGACCCCTGTGGTACACCACAGGTCAGGGCCACATCATCTGAGACGCAGTCTCCAATCTCCACAGAGTACTTCCTATCCTCCAGGTAAGACCTAAACCAGTCTAGGGCTGTGCCAGTGACACCAACCCAGTCCTCCAGTCTCTGCATGAGGATCTCATGGTCGACAGTGTCGAACGCGGCACTAAGATCTAACATGACCAAAACTGTGACTTTACCTGCATCAGTGTGAAGTCGAATGTCGTTTGTTACCTTCACTAGAGCGGTCTCAGTGCTGTGGTGGGGTCTAAACCCAGACTGGAACATATCAAAAGAATTATTCATTGTTAAAAATTCAGTAAGTTGTTGGGAGGCCACTTTTTCAAGAATTTTTCCAATAAATGGCAGATTCGATATGGGGCGATAATTTTGAAGTCCCGCAGGATCCAGACTGCTCTTTTTTAGGAGAGGTCTTATGACTGCTGTTTTTAGGGCCATAGGAAATGTTCCTGACGACAGAGACATGTTTACTATTTGTGTCAGTGAAGGTAACAAACTGCTCAGGACGGACTTCAGAAATTTAGAGGGCAATATATCCAGGCTACATGTGGAGGAGCTCAGACTCATGATTATCTTTTTGACAGTTTCAGTATCCACAGGTGCAAAGTGAGTTAGCTCAAAAAGCTTCTCTGGCTGTTGCATTGTTATACGTGCTGTGGAGGTGATAGTGTTTTTGATTCCTTGTACTTTGTCATCGAAAAACTGTGCGAACTCATTACACCTAGATTTAGAGGAAAATTCTAGGGGCAACTTTACAGGGGGGTTCGTTAATCTACCAACTGTTGAAAACATAACACGAAAATTGTTACTGCAACCTCCAATAATGTCAGAAAAATACATTTCTCTTGTTCTACGTAGAACCCGGTTAAATTCACCCAACTCATCTTTAAAGATTTCATAATCGCCCTGGAAATTGGACTTTCGCCACTTCCGTTCGGCCCTCCGGCACTCTTGCTTCTGTGCCCTAACCGAGTCTGCCTTAGTCCATGGGGCCTTTTTCTTACTGGTAACTATTTTAACCGTCACAGGAGCAATGGCGTCCAGAACAGTCAGAACACTGGTGGTGACAGAGTTATACAATTCATCAACAGTAGAGCATGGAGTTTTCTCAAAATTTAGCATTCCCATGAACAGTTCACTTGTGTTTTCATGTATGTGTCTTCTTCTAACAGTTGTAAATTCAGCTGGTGGTTTGCTAGCAAAACACATGTCAAAAAATACACAGAAATGATCTGACAAAGCAACATCAACTACATTAACATTTGATACATTAACCCCCTTTGTAATTAGCAGGTCAAGAGTGTGCCCCCTGCTGTGGGTGGGGCCACTCACGTGCTGAATGAAACCAAAGGTCTCAAATACAGAAGCCAGCTCCTTTGCATTTCTGTCATCAACATTATCAACATGTACATTAAAATCACCTGTAATAACTAAACTATCAAAATCTGTGCACACGAATGAAAGTAGTTCAGTAAAATGGTCAATAAAATCGCAACATGACTGTGGTGGCCTGTACAGGACAATGAAAAGAGTAGAAGATTGCTTTTGTTCCATTTTAAAAGAAATATACTCAAACAATGAAAAATTTCCAAGGGGCATTCTATGGGAGACAAAGTGCTCTCTAAAAACTGCAGCTATGCCTCCCCCCCTTTTGTTTTCTCGTATTTCGGATTCGAATTTAAAATTGGGTGGTGTTGCTTCTATTAGAACTGCATTTCCTGTATTTTGGTCGAGCCATGTTTCAGCCATAAGCATAAAATCAAGATCATAAGAAGTGATAAAATTATTAATTAAAAATGATTTGTTACATAGAGATCTGACATTAAGCATAGCAAGTTTAAAAATAACGTCAGAGTCTATTAATGTGG